GCGGGGCGCCAGCCAGTATCGTGTGAAGGCAGTTTACAGAGCACAGCACTTCCATCACAAATGAACTGTAGGCAGTTAATAAAGTCTGTGGGCAGTCTGGACAACCAGCTCAACAAAAATAATACCTAAAAAATTCTCAATTTTAAGTAAGAAATTGACTGTTTTGCAAATTAAATAGAGGGGAAAATACTGACTCTAAACTTAGAAAAAAATACTGCTAGAAAAAAATTGTGGCTGTAACTGAACTTCAGATATTTAACAGTAGAATTATTTCCTTCTAACTTAAAATGCATTTATTTTCATACTTATTCACATCCCAAGAAACAGTTAACATGATCAGAGATACTTTGTGCATTAAAGCAAAAAAGTTTTTTTCTTATTCTGGGGAACAATCTTTAAGAAAAATTGATATATTAAACAAAATACTGTCTACCACAGAAAATGTCTACCACCTTGTAACTGACCTTCTTGAGCAGTTGGAACCATCCAGGTTGTGGTAGCAGTTGCCTTTTTAACACTTTCCATTTCCGTTTCATCTGTAATCACTTCTAGGGCCCCAAATTCATTCACTCTAAACTGTAAGACAAAATAAATGGTATAAAGTATAGTAAAATTACTCTCTTACTGTGTCTTCTTCTATTCACTAAGTTAGTTTAGACATGGTGTCCTCACCATATTATCTAATTTCTATGTGTTTCTGCTTATCCCCAAGGAATTGGAAACAAGCCTTTCTTGCTTCTATCAAGCAAAATACAAACTCATTTTGTTATCTAAAAATATTAATTTGCAATAGATATTGATACAGAAGCCTCTGCATGCAGATGGATATCTAACTTACACACAAGAACCAAAAAATCTGTAACAGAAACTCATGGGAAAATCTCCTAATTGTATGCTTTTAACTGCCAGCAAAATAATGCGCTACAGTCACCAAGTATTTTTGTCAAGGAAAAAGGAACTGACCATCAAATACAAATGCTTCACAGAGCACAGAAATTTCAGCATCCTCCAAAAAAACACAGGACTTCTCTGCTGTAAAGTGCACATAAACAAACATCTCAAGGCAGTTTATGAGCTGTTTAATTACACGCTGAACGTGATATTACTGTTAGCCAAAAGCAAGGCTCAACAATACCCCACATGCTGTGCTTACACAGGAGCACCGGGAGTTTCCGCCAGCAGAAAAGCGTCTTCCAAATGCCATAATGATTAAAGCACTACCAGATAAAAATAAACTTCAGCTTCCCAGCCATCACTTGGTTTGCAGGCCCAGGTGGTTACACAGGTTGAACTCAGGGCAGCGTTTTGTCCGTGACAGTGTGCTCTGAACAGTGAAGGGGTGTAACTCTCCAAGCTTTGCCACTGAGGACAGGCCTCTAGCAGTGAGGTGCTCTCATCAGTGGAGATCAACAGGAAAAGTCACACCTGAGAAAGTCTTTCAAAGCTCCCCAGCACCCACCTGCAAGAATATTCCTTCAGGGTAGTAGCATGAAGCCTATTTCTGTTTCCCTGCTCAGGCAACTTTACCTTGGGAAAACGAGAAGGGGAACAATTGCCTGGTACTACATCGATCTCCGTGCCTCTGGAGGCTGCAGGATTAATCCTTCCCACTCACTCTGGATGCTGCTATGGTATAGTACTGAAAATGAGACATTCTGACTGAAAGCAAAGGTGAACCCCATGACGTACATACCACAACAGTGTGCTTTCACTAATATGGTCCTTCCAGCCTCAGCATTTGCAAAGAGCCACCAAGTCCTAAGGAATGTGAGCAGCTCAGAAATTAATAAACTGAGGGGAGAGAGAGGAAGAAGAGGAGGTCCTCACACAGCCGTATGACTTCTGAGCCAAGATTTTTACTTGCCAACAGCTACGCTCACAACAGATATGGAAGTGTGGACAAACTGTCAATAAATCCATCTGGACTGAAAGACCAGGAGTTCAGCTTTGAAAGGCAACCAAATACAGTAACACCACAAGCTAATATTCCAGTTTGTGGACAGACATTCACACTGTTCCACCCAAAAAAAAGCAGGGGAGTTACTACTCAAAAGAGGATCCTTGTGTCTTACAGCTGAACATGAGCCAGCAGTGTGCCCAGGTGGCCAAGAAGGCCAACGGCATCCTGGCCTGCATCAAGAACAGTGTGGCCAGCAGGAGCAGGGAAGTGATCCTTCCCCTGTACTCTGCGTTAGTGAGGCCACACCTTGAGTACTGTGTTCAGCTCTGGGCCCCTCAGTTCAGGAAGGACATTGAGGTGCTGGAGCGGGTCCAGAGAAGAGCAACGAGGCTGGTGAAGGGACTTGAGCACAAGTCCTATGAGGAGAGGCTGAGGGAGCTGGGGTTGTTTAGTCTGGAGAAGAGAAGGCTTAGAGGTGACCTCATCACTCTCTTCAACTACCTGAAGGGAGGTTATAGCCAGGTGGGGGTTGGTCTCTTCTCCCAGGCAACCAACAATAGGACAAGGGGACATGGGCTCAAGCTCTGCCAGGGGAGGTTTAGGTTAGATGTTAGGAAGAAATTCTTTACAGAGAGGGTAATCAGGCACTGGAACGGCCTGCCCAGAGAGGTGGTAGATTCACCATCCCTGGAGGTTTTTAAAAAGAGATTGGACGTGGCCCTTAGTGCCATGATATAGTAATTGGAGTTGGATCAGGGGTTGGACTTGATGATCTTGGAGGTCTTTTCCAACCCAATCTATTCTATGATTCTATGACTTATGCACTCAGCCTGGTTCCTATTTTGGTTAAGCTCATTTTTGCTATTGGTGTTTTGCTGCCTCTGCAATAGGTGCATGCCAGAGGGAAAATCCTCCATGCTTCCAAGAGCTCTTAACTCCACAAACACTGGCTCAGCAAGCAGGCTGTGAGCACAGACTAAGATAAGACACGGTGCCGCAGCCCACCAACCAACAGTTACTAAACAACTTCTGGAAACACCCTCCTGTACCTTCATACAATATCAGCTGCAACATACATATGCCAAAGGTATTTCTGAACAGTTCAGTTAACACCTGGGATATTTCTGCATGATCTGATTGGTGTTCAGCCCTGGCACTACACATACGTTCCTCCTCCACTGTGTCCTTGCACAGTACGCATGGAGGTCACCCTAGCCAGTGTGGTGACCTGCCAGCCCTTCTGGCTTCAGAAGGCTGACTGTCAGGCATCAAATGATGAAAGACAGATGACTGCAGGGAAGGTTGCTCCCAGCTAACCTTTCACTAGAGGTTCTTCATGGCAGCGAGAGACAAAATACTAAGGAAGCACCTCCTCAATAGTCAGGCCACCAGGCTAAGATGGGCTCAGAGATGGTGAGTAATCACTTGCTACTGCCTTAGCAGGCAGAAGGCAACAATAACCCTCCTGGGTCCGCTGCCTCGCCTGACCTCTCCATCTCCTGTTTTGACCCACAGGCTCACCTCTATCAGTGTCAGAGGCCTCCAGCTCCAGTTTGGAGGCAAAATTGAAGCAGATAAGTCTGTTTTTACTCACTGCTTCCCCAGCTACAAGCTTCAGCATTACTGTGTACGCTGAGCTCTCCATAGCTGACCAGAAAAATGCCTCAGACCTGGGAAACCATACAGTGGTTTTAGCTGGGGAGGAAAAGCAATGAAAAACTTGTGACAGAGGTTAATTGCTTAAAAACGGGATAAATATATGTACAGAGCAGCATGCTGCACAAAGCCATCACAGGGTAAGAGCTGCCAGAGCAATGTGCCAACTAGTGTCTACTGTTGGAAGCACGACAAAAAGGAATCTAGATTAATGGCGATTTACATGTCTATGAAAAAAATTCAACGTGTATGCCTCTTCCACTTAGAAAGTAGGTGACAAAAAATATAAAAAAACCCCTAAAGGTAAAGGTTCTGTTTACTCTATTTTTGGTGATCCAAGCTAAAATATAGTAAAAGCAGTCCTCCCATATACTTCCCTAGGTGTCTTGGCAGGCTGGAAGTTTGAAGTAGGTCATACAGAGGGAAGGAAACAGTGCCATAGAGCTAACTTCTGCAGATGGATTCACAGCTTTCTGAGAAGTAAAAATTTAAGTCACAAAACTCCGTAAGTAAATATACAAATTTGCATTGGATTAAGCGACTTTCCTTAAACCAGTCTTAATTAAAGCAAACAATAAAATTCCCACTGATGGAAACAAAGTCAGGCCATTATCAAGTACTTTTTAAATAATTTCACAAAAGCCTGTTTTAAAGTCTTCTTCAATGTTTAAAAAGAAATAAATTATAAAACTTGTTGGGTATTAATTTAATACCCACTCAACTTTTATCAAATGTCTGTTGGCAAATTTTAAGTAACCTCTTAAGAAGATAATTCCCTATCCCACCCAATGTAGCCAATGGTCTTAAAAGATCAGCAGGCAAAGAAGAAGAAAAGAAAGAAACCTCAACAGCTTTCATGAGCAAATCCACAGTAACATAAACAGAAATAAATACAACATTTGGATAGAAAAATGTAACTTTCAAGGTTTCACGTGTAGGTGAGCAAAAAGGGCAAAACTACACATTTTCAAGTTACTGCAGTTGACACAAATATACACTGAGTTGTCAGGATAAGTCCAACTATTAGTGGGTAAGTATACAACAGAACTTACTCAGCTGTGTTGTTTAGCAGTTTCCATAAGGATCAAAAGGGAATTAAACAGCAGCTTCCATGTAAATTTAATTAGTGATTCCTTCCACTCAGAGCTGAGATACATTTTCACATTCGTGGGAAACAATGCCCTGATACACCAGGACTCCATCCTATATGACTGCTAATTTTATCCCCAGGAACATTTTAATATTCATTCAAAAAATAAAGAATACATTGAGGGAAATGAAGGCTTAAATAGATAATAATAAAACATAAATATTTTCTGAACATTTTCTCTCTGTCCACATGCTAAGTTCTTCTACAGGAACCAAAATTACTATCAATAAACTTTTTTTTAAAATTAAAATTGCATTAAAATTTACATAGGACTGGAACAAGTATCATAAGTCATTGAGACAAAGCCTTTGTTTATTGCAGGCAATAATATCACACAATGTATTTCATGTTTCAGCTGCAATGGAGAAGTGGTCAGATTTTCCGCTACCAGTGCCTTACTGAAAATCCATTCCTAAATCTCTTTCTCAAAAAACCCTCTTTAACTTTTCATTTACATTTATGCATAGTAAGTTTATACTCATTTGTTCTTAACCCAGTATTACCTTATGGATTACATAGCTGTAGTACCCTAGCACTCACTCTCTGGGTATACATTTGAAGCAAGGAATTATGTACCCCCAGACTTAATTTAGGCTAAGCACAAGCTCCTTCTGTTCTTCTTGTGAAAATGGTGCTCCATCTTCTTGATCAGCCAGTCATTCTTTGCCCACCATATGCTGGGCTCAACCATGGAAATTCACTTTTTCTCAGTGAATGTGACTAAGCATAACACTGCAGGTGGACTTCTGCTGTCCCACCTCCAGTGGCTTTAGGACCTTTCCATTTCTAATAGAAGTTCTTTGCCCTATTATGCAGGCTGGAAGGCACTCTGTAGTTTTATGTAGGGGGAATTATATATTAAAAGGGCTT